TCTCTCTCTCTCTCTCTCTCTCTCTCTCTCTCTCTCTCTCTGCATTATATCAGATGCTGCCTTCGGTGCTTCTGACCGTGGACTCCTGACTGTGCGCCAAGCCTCTGGCCCCTCTACAAAGCCATGGACTCCCACTTGTGCTGGCGCCTGGGCCCATCACTCTGCCCCTCCCCACCTGCTGCCCTCAGGAAGCATATCCTTGTTCCCCTTAAAATGGTCAGCTTGAACTTTGGCGACTTCCCTGCGTCAGAGGAGACCCGTGAGAAGCCTCTGTGCAAGGCTGCTGTGGTTTCATTGGTCTTTCTTGCTAGCGGGTTCCCTGCACCTAAGGGTCTGGATCAGCACTACTTAGGACAGAGGAGGGTGTGGAGGTTTGGCCGCTTGCTGGAAGGATGCAGTGTCTTTCCAAACAGTATGGCAGTGTCTGCTCTTCCAGCATGTTCCAGGTAGGAGCTGGTATCTTGGCGGATGTAGCTGGCTGAGGGTTAATGCTGGCACTCAGAAAGGCTTGTTTTGTTGCACTGTCATTCATCTTCCCAGATTTCAGGAGAAGGGAGGGGGTGGCAGCTTCAAGCTTTCCTCATTCTCAGCCTGCCTTTGCAAATCAGGGGATAATTAATGTTCTTAAAATGGCTGGATTCTTACAAGATGTCTCTTATCCTCCAAATCCTGCTGTAGGTGAGAGCAAGTGGCTTCATACTTCATTTGACTGCTTTGAGCGACTCTTCTGACTAATGCAGGACTTGTTCACATATAGCTTTTAGAGTGGCACTGCAAACAGCTTATTATCATATTCATTTTAAATAAAGAGTGTGATCTGGTATTGCTATCGGCATTGTGTTGGTGTTTCAGGTTTGCTGCTAGAGAAATCTGAGGTCAAATAAGGACAGGGCATGTTTGTCCAAGAATTGTGACTCAGACTTTTGTCTCACTAGTGCATCCAGGAGCTGGGACCATTTGGGAAAAGAAGGTGGTTTTCAGGGCCCTTACCTAGGCACTGTTTTCTGCCTTCCATGTCAAAGTCCATGGCCACTGCCTGATCATCCACTTGCTCTTCACTGGTCTTCAGCTGAGGCAGCCACCAGGTGCACTGGGGTTAACTCTGAACCTTTCTTGTAGACTTTCTCTTGAATGCATGGAATCATAAGCTGGCCTAGAAAGATTCTGACAAGGTCAAGTAGAATAGCCAGTTTTGTTACTGAATGATTGACATAACTGAAAACAATGGTACTGGATAGTAAGCTAAGTCTCATGGCAATTCCTGGGTTAAATTTTAGGTTTTACTTAGCCTAGAAATGTTCCATTCTTAGGTTGTTTTTGTGACATCTGAACCCAGAAACTTGGTGGCGGGGGAGGTGTTAGAGGTTAAACAACCCAGAGTTAACCCAATGATTTCCCATGATTCCCTGAGTTGTTCATAAAAAGCCATAGTTTGGGGTTTGAAACAAATCCAGAAACAGATTGTTCTTGGGTTATTAATTAGATGTAGACATGTTGGGTGTGTGGCTTGCATGCTCTGCTCATCTGTGCAATTTTGTGTTAAACAACCCAGGAATTACCACCGTGACATGTGAACTGGGTCATAATAACAGAATGTCCAAGTGTGGGGGCTTGATAATCTGCAGTTCAGTAGATCCCTGCTGAGGGACCCAACCTGATGCTCCATAAGAAAACACTGACCTGTCTTCCCATGTTTGTTTTGCAGGACACTCTAGAAATGTGTAGCCGTGAGAATGAGTTTAAGAGCATCCTCTTTGCCCTCTGCTATTTTCATGCTGTAGCAGCAGAAAGACGTAAATTTGGGCCGCAGGGCTGGAATCGTTCCTACCCCTTTAACACCGGGGACCTCACCATTTCTGTCAATGTTCTGTACAATTACTTGGAGGCTAGCTTGAAGGTGAGCTGCATCAATTATACACCATCTCATGTTAAAATCATGTACATCTCTCGGAGTGCTTAATGACTGATCATTGGCTTTTATCAGTGTGCCACTTTTCTCCTACTGTTGTTCTTTATTGTGGTTTCATCTTACCACCCCTCTTTCTGTGGATGCCCATGTGTGGCCTGTGTATCCCCACCATGGCATTTCTGTGAAAATATTTGGAAATGTTTGTCTGCCTAGAAAAATGTGTTTAGTTGAGGGAACTGGGGGAAGACATGTTTTAAGTAACAATCCTCCCACCCTTTCTCCCTTCCCCTTACTGTACATATAGACATAGAAACAGTCTGTTCTTCAGTCTGGGATTCTTTTAGTGCATCTCCTGTTTGCTGCACGGAGAAATTTGACTGCTACATGATGTTCAGTTCCTTAGAAAAAGTGAATTGTTGAAGTGAAAGCATCCTCTGAAATGTCAGCTTTCAGACACTATCAGGGCCGGGCGTCTGCTCCTACAAAGGGCAGCCTCTTACAACCTGTTCCTGTCCACCTGCCCCTTATGGTTTAGGTTCCCTATGATGATCTGCGGTACCTCTTTGGAGAGATCATGTATGGAGGACACATCACAGACGACTGGGACAGGCGCCTCTGTAAGACCTACCTGGAGGAGTTCATCAAACCTGAAATGCTGGAGGGAGAATTCCTGCTGGCTCCAGGATTCCCACTCCCAGGGAACATGGACTACAACAGCTACCACCAGGTAGCACTGCCAGACACCCTGCATTTGGACTGCTCAAGTTTCTGACCTTATAGCCCATATGAAATGGCAAGTTAGGAATGCCGAGTTCTGGCACCAGGTTGGGTGGGTCTTTTTCACAGCCTCCTCCACAGAACCCTGTTTAATGGTTATATGACAGTTCATTCATGCATGAGTAGAGGACATGCTCATTTCTTCTTCAGCCAGAGCAGATGCAGTGAGAAAATGGCAACTGTCAGCTCAAAAGGACCTTAAGGGTGCAGTCCTATGCACACTCACCCATGAGAGGTCTCAGGAAAATGGGTGGGGCTCACTTCTGAGTAGATGTGCCGGATCGTGCTGCTGGTGTTCACCAAGCATTCCTTCTGCATGCTCTAGGCCTTGGATGGCTGTTTATTGAGTCAGCTTTTATTTCAGAAGTGAACGGGTACATTTTGACAGGATGGGTAGAGCGAGCCTAGTTTTTGTTTTGGAAAGTAAGTGAATCTGTGAGATCTCATTGATGACTGTTGGTGACTATTACATTTTTCCTAGCCAAGAACTAAGATCTTGCCTTCAAGGCACACCCCAAACTGAGATAGAGATGTTAGAGATGATTATATTCATACATACATACATACATACATACATATGTGTGTGTGTGTGTGTGTGTGTGTGTGTATAGAGAGAGAGAGAGAGAGAGAGAGCCCTGTTTGAAATTCATAGCAAGGACTGGGCATAATTACTGTTCATTTTGGTTTGGCTGGGGATGGTCTGATTATTCATACAACATGAGTGCCAGTTCCAGCATCAGCTTCCCAGCAGCTCAGGAACACAAAGGGTGATTGAGAGGCAGGCGTCCCATTGACAGAATTGCACATCGTACCTGATACCTCGCTGAGTGTAGATACTCTGTTGCTGTCCAGTATGTAGACGATGCCTTGCCTGCTGAGTCTCCGTACCTTTATGGCCTCCACCCCAATGCAGAAATTGGCTTCTTGACACAAACTTCAGAGAAGCTCTTCCGCACAGTGCTGGAGCTGCAGCCTCGTGACACCAGCATTGGAGAAGGCGCAGGAGCCACCCGGGAAGAGAAGGTGACTGTGGGGGAGCAGAGTGGAAAATGAGCAATCAGTCTTGAGGCGACCCCTCCTCCTTGATTTCCCTTTGGTCAAAACCCTTTTCAGCTCATGGAAAGCTCACACAGCAAGCTGCAGCAAGATGGCTGGGATCCTGAGGAGCCAGAATGGGTGCCGGGGTAACTGGAATTCTACTCTGCAAGGCCTGTAGTCATCCCCCTTTCTGGACCTTGTGGAGAAAAAGGGCTCATTCCTTCTGCAGTCATTTAACAGTAGTCATAGAAATGCCCAGTAGCTCTCATACAGAAGGCTGATGTACTTCATACATGCACAAATTGGACCCCCTCTTGGAGATTACAGAGGAAGCTTGTCTGGCTGGGCAGGGCTCTCATCTTTCTGATTTGCTGCTGCAGTGAGTGGTGAGGAGAGTGGAGAAGTGTCGCGGGGAAAGGCAGGTACGATTGCCCTGCTTCACCCCTGCTGGGTGCTTCAGAGCTCACACTGGTCCATGTGCCAGGTGTGCAGGCCTGTGGCAGCTGGAAGGGCAGGGAGGAGCTGTGCTTCCACTCCCCCACCCCCAGGAAAGCTCACAGAGGGGATTTCAGGCATGCAGTTTTGTTCCCCTTTCCTCCACATTCCTGAGACGACTCTGCCTCCTTCACACAATATCAATTCATTGAATAGTTTTCAACTGGGAAATAATTCTCTCTCTCCAAGGTGACTCAAGTTTCCTTAAGGGAAACTTTTATGTCATTAAAACTCCAGTCAGGGCCTTAAAAGGTGCAGGAAGGTCAATATAACCAGGCTGGCTGTGTGCACATTTTCTGCTCATAAAACATGGGAAATCTGCCTGTTATTTCCTTCTCATTATGCTCCAAAGCTAAAATTTAAGTGGTTGACACCAATCTTTAGCAAATTAATTTTCAACTCTTGACAGCCAAGGCTGTTCATCTTGTAGGTGGTAAAAGCTTTCAAACTCCTACGCATGTGGCCTTTCTGGCCAGGACCACAACCAAAGATGCAGCCGGAGCTTTCTGGTGACGCTCCCCAGTGGCGCTCTCCTCCTGCACGAAGATGGGTTGAGTGACCCAGCCTGATTAAAAGTAGCTAATGAATTGGACGACAGGTTCGATGCACATGGAGCACCTCTGGATTTTGGTGGGAGGAAAGCACTGGATAGGCACACTGTGTTTCTGGTTTGTGGCTGACAGATCCAGCTGACCAGAAGTGGCAGGGTTTGGGAGGGGAGACAAGAAAGGCACAGATGCAGGGAATATTTTACAGCACATTGAGAAAAGGGCTGGAGCTCCTTCTAACCCATTTACCAGCTATAGTGGATTAAGGGCTCATCCCCATCATAATGCCTGGAAGTCCCCAACCTCAGAAGTTTATAGGCATGCTATGTGGAGGAGGAGGAGGAAGAGGAGGAAGAGGAGCAATTGCCTTCTCCCCATTTTCCACTAGACAAGCTCTTTTGCCCAGCTAGCTGGAGCCTCTCAGAGGGGCGGAAAGGCTGCTGGGGCAACTGGAAGATACCCTGTATGTTGGTCTCACCAGACTCCTCCCCTCCCTGCTCCCTAAAATGCTGCCTTTACTTCTCTTGGAGGTGCTCCCTCCAGTCCTGCTGAGCAGCCAGTGCTGTTCTTTCTGTGCCGACTGTGAAGGTTTGGGAGAGGCGGATTGGAGCGCCAGTACCCATCTCCAGGATCAAGCGCTGTCCTCAGTGTCAGATCTGGGAATCCAAGCCATCCATGGGCCATCAAACTTATGGAACAATCTTATGGTCTAGGGACCATAAGATTGTTCCCTTATATGACTATCCAACTCATCATGAGCTCTTCCAGAGGAACCTTGGGAACCGATGGCATTTTCTTGTCTTCTTTATAGTGTGCTGAGATAGTTCACCTTAAAATTCCATTTAAAATAATCGGCTGCATTTGTCAATAACACATGAATAAAATTGCTCATAAATGGTGCAGTATAGTACACGTTGCTGTTTGATTTTTCATTTTATAGCTTCATCTATCTCACTGAACTATCCCAACCTTAGAATGAGGCACAGGAGAGAATCAAAGCAAAGAAATAAGCTCCTGCATAATGTGTGGCTGTTTCTAAATCATCTCTATAAAGAAGAGCCACTCTGAATGCTTGTAGGTATTTAGGCTGTAATAGTCCATTAGATGGGTTGATTTGGAGGAGCCAGGCTTGAGCTGGCTCAGCTGTTCTTCAGGAGGAGTAGGTTAACTTTCCCAAGGCAGCTGTGACTTAATGATAATCTTTCATGCCTCCTGCAAGTAGGTCTCAGGAACCCTTCACACCTCTCTTTGGCACGCAGGTGAAGGCAGCTTTGGATGACATCCTGGAGAAACTAACCGATGAGTTTAACATTCCTGAGCTGATGGCCAAAGTGGAGGAGAGGACGCCATACATTGTGGTCGCTTTCCAGGAATGTGAGCGGATGAACCTCCTTACCAGTGAGATTAGACGGTCACTGAGGGAGCTGGACCTGGGACTGAAGGTGGAAGCCCATTTCGTTCCTCTGTTGTGTCATTTGGAAATGCGGTCATAGCGATGGAGGGGAAATGACCCCGTTTATATGTTGTAGTCCACCAGCAGAAAGCAAAGGATCTATGTGATTGAATACAATGTTTTAAAAGTGAAAGTGATATTAAAGGATGCAGAGGTGGCAGAAAATAGGGAAGCCATTTGTGGTATCAGTAGTTTTCAAAACAAACCCTGAATGATAGAAAAGTATTGCCAGTGGATCAAATGGTGTAAATGTTCAGAACATTAAATTTATCACAAAATAGAAACAAAACATAAACTGCTGGCAACTAGCAGCCCAAGATTTGGCTGCTTCTTTCAAATCAATATCTGAAATACATCTCTCCTCCGTCTTTTCTTTTTGGCTCATCTAAAGTAGCCAGGTCACAATATCGTGAGAATAACATCTGAACGCCCCCAGTCCAAATCTCTAGAGTGTAACAAGCCCCCAGCCTACTGGTTCTCTCCTGCCCCAGAGCCAAATCTGTAGTGGTGCTCCAGAGCTGCTTTGCGCTTGGCTCCTCTTCCCTTGAACCCCAGAGTCGGAATCCAATGAGCCAGTCAGCTGGTGCCCTGCTCTCAAGGGGGTTTGGGGCCAGTGTGTTCATCACAATTTATTTATTTATTTATCTGTAACTCACAACATGCCCTTGCGTGATGACCTTGCTCTCAGGGGTCGGGTGTGGAGACAAAACTTCATTGCACATCTGAAGTGAGTCATTTAGCTGCCTGTCTCCTGACCAGTCCCCCTAATGTGCCTTCCCCCCAGTGATGCATCCGAATGTTATAAGCCGTCTTTAGAGCCCCTTCTTGCCCCACGCAACTGGTTGACCCCCATGAACAGAGAAATGCTTGGCTTGGTCTGGTCCGATTTTCTATTCCGTATCCCTTTTTCCTAAACTCTAATTCTACACTCCATTCAGGCTCCTCTTTCTCACTTTATTACCCACTCTGTACATAGGCACATCAATATTCTGATTTCAGCGCACACATTCAATATCCTTTTTCTGGTTCCTTGTTCAGACTCTTAGGAATTATGCATACATGGTGGGATTAGTGATGGTAGAAAACAGGTTAAACATTTCCAGTACTTTAACATTTTTTTGCTTTTTAAATTCTAAATATGTGTCTTATTTAATTGCCAAAAAGACTTATCATCCAGTGTCTCCCAGATCCTTCTAAGCAAGTTTAAATGTTCTGTTTTCACATATTTGCTGGATTTTGGCTCAAGTGAACACTCTGTATCTCCTGCTTTTTTGTCTTACACATTTTTAGGGTGAATTAACCATGACTAGTGATATGGAGACCTTACAGAACGCCATCTTCTTGGACACAGTGCCTGACCCATGGACCAGGAGGGCTTACCCTTCCATGGCTGCTCTGGGCGGTTGGTTTGCCGATCTGCTTAACCGTATCAAGGAGCTGGAGACGTGGACCGGGGACTTCGCGCTGCCCGCAGTGGTGTGGTTGGCAGGATTCTTTAACCCCCAGTCTTTCCTGACCGCCATCATGCAGTCCATGGCCCGAAAGAATGAGTGGCCTCTAGACAAAATGGCCCTGCAGTGCGACGTGACCAAAAGGAACCGCAACGATTTCACCAGCCCCCCACGAGAAGGGGCCTGTGTCCATGGCTTGTTCATGGAGGGCGCGCGATGGGACATGCAGGTAAGCATGCGAAGTGGAGCTTCGTTGCGACATGGTGGGTTGCCGGAGCAAGGCCACGGACCATGGATTGTTTCCGTGCAGCCCAATTCCAGCAATACCTTTTTTCCTGACTATTACGGGATGTCTGCATGGCTGTGTGATCAGAAGTGTAGCATACAATTGCTTTAGGGTTGCCACTTCTCTGGGGAGTCACCTCCTCGATATACTACCGATGCCACTCGGTCAGCCCTGTGAGGAGGAGTATCATGGACACTAGCAGTTTCACTCTGCAGTTGCAGAAGAGGTATCTGCCATGGCATTCAGTTTTCTGGACTGAGACAATTTTCTGTGCAAGCTGATACAGTTGCACAGAAAAATACCGTAGCTTCCAAGTCTGTGGAAAGCTTTTAGTGAGAATGTTGGGGCTGATTACTTCCCCTGGGAGGACTGGTGCTGGTGCTGGTGAGAATAGATTCCAGTGCCTTGCCAGCTAGCTTTTCCCCACACTTGTCATCGCGTTTATGCTATTGCTGAGCTGAAGTTTTGTGGATTGCTACTTCCACACTGAAATTTGCAGCTTACATGGAGAGAAAAACCTTTGCTAACAATCGGCTGAATATTGGCAGTGCTACTCTGTTTTTCATCTGCTTGGGAACTTTCCTAAGCTATATCCTGTGAGGTAGGTCAGAGACTGCACCGTTCCTGGGAATCTTAATGGTGACACTCTGGGAGCTTTTGCACTTTTCTTTCCAGCATCCAGGTTTTGAATGAAAAAGAAACCAAACGTGGAAAAGGCAGTCAAAAGCATGGAGGGAAAAAAAAAATTCAGCTCAGCTCAAATGTATGCATTCTCATTACCCTTTTATTTTTCTTTCCCTGTCCCCTTCGCCCCCTCCCCAGCAAATACAGGCCATTGCCTTCCAAATTATTTGAAAAACTAGACTTTGAGGAAAACTAAGCAAAGTAGTTAGCACAATTTACTCCGATATCAGAATGCGCATTTCCACGGTGCATGTTTTGTGTTACACTTGGTGCAGAGCTGGGATTTCTTCCCCTCTCTTTTTGGCATAGAGTACCCACAGTTCTGCCAAAAGGAGCAGCTGGTGCTGTCAGCCTTGAAGCTAAAACGCTCCTTGGCTCTGGTCCCATAACGGTTGGCTTCCAAATCAATGCTCGCTTTTATTTCCAAGCACACGGCCTTTTCGAAGCATCAGAGGTCAGAGCCACCTCTTTGGGAGGTTTGCCGATGCTGCTTCAGCCCCAACAGGGAATGAGCCAAGGCTGAATCTGGGGGTGGGCCCAGAACACCTGCAGAGCTTCCAAGGCGACAGCAGTGGATGCTGGATAAAGTTGGAACTGGCGTGACTGGCACTTGGTGCAGTTCTAGTTTCCCTTGATATTCCTATAAACAGGGCAAGATGTGGAGGGAATCACACTCGGCCGTGCCTGGCACGACCTGATGCATTGCTGCTGCCGCCCATCTGTAAAGCGGAGGTGCCCCGAAAGAGGCAGTGCGTCACAGCTTGGAGCTCTGTAGATTAGCAGCCTCATCAGGATGGCTGCCCCATTCTGTTTGGATTGCTGGTAGCACCTGTCACTGTGGCCGCTCCCCGGAACACCTTTCCTCGGGCAGCCACTGCCCAGCTGGATGCAGAAGCAGCTTCCCCGGGCACAGCGTTTTCCACGTCAGCGGAAGCCCGCCTGGGGGACGAGAGGACCGCTGCCTGGTCTTTGCTTTAGCGTATCAGCACGGGGGCTGGGGGGAGCCGACTGCATTGCGAGGAGGCAGCCACGTAGCACCCAACCTGCACCTTTCCAAAGTATAGGGGGTATTTATAAGGGCACCAGTAAGCAAAGCATCCTTCTGCAGAAACTGCAGTTGAGAGGGAGATGCCAAATATCCCCCACCATCTCCTTCTCTTGTTAATGTCAGTGGAGGCAAAAAAGCAGGACTTAAACTTCATCACCTGGCCCTTCTTCTCTTTCTCTGGATCATGCTCACAAAACTCCTGTGTCTTTGGGAAATGGTCCTGCTTGAGCATGCGTTAGAGGAGCTAAGTCAGAGGACGGCATGGGGCAGGTCAGGCCTGGGAGCCGCAGGCTGCTTCAAGTGGTGGGACCGTCCAAATGCAGAGCTGCAGACAGAGGCCGCAATCAAACTTGGAAAGGCCCCCTGGCAGAGGGTGCGGCCCGATGGCAGGGCTGCTGGCTGATGCAAAAACGGCAGAGAAAGCTAAGGGGCAAGAGCAAGGTAGCGGCCATCTTATGCAACGCTTAGGATCCATGTTGTTGGAGTTGTGCAGGGATGGGCAAACTTTGGCCCTCTGAATATTTTGGCCTCAACTCACGGTCCTTTACCATTGCCTATATTGAATAGTCTCCCCAGCCCCACCCGCCACCGTGCTGCAAAGCTCTAAACTCTAAGCAATAATAATGGCATTTCCTCTCTATGCCTGAACCCCCCCCCCCCACACACACACATTTTGCGTGTCTTTGCTGAAATGGACCCATTGATTCTGTACCCAGTACTGTCTGTTAGCTGCATGTCCATTCTTGTGGGGACAAATGCAGACAGCAGATGATACAAAGAACTATGAACCTTGTAATATGCATTCCATTTTTCTGGGTTGCTTATCCATTGAAAATGAATCCTTTGTTAAGAATGTGAACTCTGAAGTTTGGAGTAATCACTTCAGGGAGCTATTCCACTTTAGAAAAGATATTCCCCTGTGAAGTGATGCTGTAGCCAGAGATGGCTGTTTCCCTGCTGCTCTGCACTCGGACAAATATTTTGCATTTATGTCTATATCCATGTAGTTATGTGGGTGGCCTACACTTAGGAACCAATCTATATGCTCCTATTTAACCAAGGAAAACCAAATTGAGTTTACAAGGTCCTAAATTCCCTGCTAGTATAAGTTCTGTGAAAGGTAGGTGAATTATGTATGCAGGCAGCCTTCCCCCATATTGCAGCAAAGGCCTTATTCTGTTGAGGAACGGCTGGAAGATAATGCCATTTGTCACTGAGTGCTCCATCTGGTGCTCTTCCCTCTTGCTGCTTAATTTTCCACTGCCTGCAGAAAGCAGGAATTCTGAGGCAAGTGTCTTTGCCACAGCCAGGGGCTGACATGAAAATCTGAGGAGAGAACCCTTCTGGTGAATGGCTCCCACTTGGTGTGTAGACAGACAGTGCAATGGAATGTATGTGCACCACACGCCTGGGTTTGGAAATGCACAGATTATATAGGTACACGTGGCAATGAGCTGGGTTTGCATATGTCCCTGCCAGAAGTGGTATGTGCAGTGCCAAATGCTTGTCTGGCATATGTGCGAAGATGCTCTACAAAAGTCGGGGAGTGGAAGCAGATCATGATTTCTGACCTAGCTAAACGGTCAGAGTACTTCTAAAGATGCATCTCCACAAACTCCTTTTCATGGCAATAGGTGTGTTCCCGGAAGGGTATGCCGTTCCCAGAGTTGCATGGCATCTTTCGCCGATGGCAAAACCTTCTATTATACAGGCCACGTTCAGACAGAAGTGTGAAGGGCACACGGGGCTCTGGGCATGCCCCCTTTGCCCCCAGACGTGCCACGCTGACTTGCCATGCCTTCGACCCAGGAGAGTCAGCAGGCGCCTGCATCCCTGCCTCCGCCCCAGCTTCGGATTTCTCGATCGCTGCCTTGGGGGAGCAGGCGAGTGGGGTGTGCAAGGACATCTTCATGCCACGCAGAGAAAGGCACCACAGAGCCGTGAGGATGAAACCACCTGGGAAGCTAATTTGCCGTTCCCCTCGCATCTTTCCCACATGTTCAAGCTGCCCCTCCCTTTCCCTACTAGAGATGGCTCTCATGTTTTCGTTAAGGCCCTCTGAGTGTAACTTGGAGCTCTGCTGTGTTCCTCTTCCAAGGTTCATCGTCACTGTTCTTCCCCTTTTAAGGGCTTCAATCTATTTCTAGCTTAGTGTGCATACACAGAACAGGGAGTGTGTCGCCTGTTGACAGAAAACAGACCACATTGCTAAGTCACTGGGCACCTTGGTTGTTATGAATCCATGGACATGTGAGCTGAAAATGATGGGACTTGCAATCCAACCTATCCAGAGGAAGCACTGGGTTGGGAAAAGCCAAGTGCAGTCAGGTCAGTGTTAGACTAAGTCTGGGGAGGCTCAGGCGCAAATCTTTATTCAGCTACAAAGTTAACTGGATGCTCCTTGGAGAGTTATGATCTCTTAGTCTAACTGGCTCCGCAAGTAGCTTGTGGCGATGAAGAAAAATGGTATGGCCACACGCCATTGTGTGAGCTCCTTCAGTGAAGAATGGAACTCATCTGTAAGACGAGTTTTAACATGTGCTGCATCGTAGGCTTCTTGTTTTAATTCAGCCTTTCCCATCCTCGTGCCCTGTACATCTATCGAAGTGAAACATTGTCCATGCTGGCTGAGGATGATGGGAACTGTAGTCCAACAGAGCTGAGGGCACCTGGCTAGGAAAGGCTGTTTTAATTCTTCTTTGCTGTTACACCACTTAGCTTTGTTTTTTTTTTTTAAATCATATTTTCTGTAATTTGGTTGTATGTTTTGACAGTTTTATAGTTTATGTTCTTAGCCAGCTTAGAAATGTTATGCTGAAAAGTGGGATGTCGTATATAAAATGAATGTTGCTGCTCTGGGACCTGCCCAGGAATTCTTTTGGTGCTGTTTATTCCAACACAGAGTGTGTGTGTGCAAGCATACACCTTCCCCTGCCTGCCCAACCCCCGTACTTCAAATAATATTTCTAAGCAGCAAAAATGGTTGTTCCCAAGCTAAAGTTTCCTTTGATCAACAGGGAGATAAATATGCAAATAAAAACATGAATTAATGCCAAGGAACGATCTAAGAGAGATTGAAAACATTGTCAGTCTAAAAATAGAGGGGGATATTTCATAAGGAACTGATTTCCTTTGTTCCTCTCAAACAACGGGGTACCTGCTCAAAAGACACTTTAAAAAATTAAGGTTGAACTGCAAGTTGCAATCCTTTGCAACACCTCCCAGAAGAGATGTTGTAGCAAGGATTATTTCATATTTGCCTGCTGCTTTGGAAGCCTTAAGCTCTGCTGGCACTATCTGTGATCAGAATTACCTTAATGTAACAGTGTACATACAGTTGGTGTTGTAAAGAGATCAGAATTGTTTACTATTGTGTGTGCCTATTGGAATGCAAATTAATTTCTTTCAGATATATATGCAGATCAGAAGGTTACGTTTGATAATAAATCCTTCTTTACTGTGCTGCACGAATGTAAGGGTGTTAGGCTGTTGGGAGTAAGAAGGGTGGCTCTCTTGGGCAATCGTTCCCATGGACTGCTCGCTGTATCCAGATGATTCAGGATCAGAAAATAGTGGGACTGTGGAAGATGGGCTAGGTCAAGATTCTGAGAGGAGGTGGAAGGGATTATCTCACGGCCAGGCATTATGATTCTCTCAAGGCCAAGTGATTATCTAAGCCAGGCGTGTCTGGGAGCAGTCAAGATGTACAGCCAGTGGGAGGGGTCTTTAAGGATGAGGAACGCTGGCCAGGCCCCCCTGCTCACGACCCCATGATGGTGTGTCCGCAGAGAGAGAGGAGGTGTCCTGGCCTTCAGAGAGCCCCTCCTGAGGGGGTGGGGTCTAGACATGTTCAAAAGGAGAGTTCCTGGAAGTAAACCCTAGACTGGGTTCAACAAACCACTCTGTGCATGTTCAGAGATCCATTCTGGGTAACTTATGCTTGGGAGCTATAAGGAAATCTTTACAAGGGAAAAGATCTGTGGCTTGTGTTTGCTCAAAGGAGGAAACTTGGCTTCTGACAGATGTGCAACATGGGTCTGTGGTGAAAGGTAGCTCCCAAAGCAGGTGGAGCCCTTCTCTTTCTTCACTGAGAAAGGGCGGGAGGACTGGCCTTCTCTTCCAGGACATCCTCTCCAACCTGCTAGGAACCTGCACCTCCAGTTCCTCAGGGCTTTTTATAAGCCTGCTGATCTTTTAACAGAATAAAAAATAACAACTCTTAACTCTTCCTTCTTGACTTCTCTCCCCGACCCTGACATATCCTAGCCAGAGACAGGCCCTCCCAAGGTTTTTTTTTTTGGGGGGGGGGAGGGTATTTCAGTAGTACATACAACCCACAAAAAAGAAAAGGGTTCAGACAGGGTGACATTGCCTCTTCCAGCCCGAGCAGCATGAGCAGCGATTCTGGACCCCGGCTCCGGTGACAACACTGGCCGTCGCTTCCTTGCTCCTTTCCAGAGTGGATGGGACTGCAGAATCATGAAGGGAGAATAAGCCACACAGGCCTATTTTGCCTGGCCACACATTTGGGTCACATGCCACCTGATAGCATAATTACCCCCACCGGGTGCAGGTTAGCATGATGTCCACACCCGGTCAGGGTGGCAGGCTCATGGCATTTACAGATCACCCGGAAGCCTCAGACCTGCCACAGATTGTACAAGGCAGTCTGTCCATAAGTCCCCAGGGCTTATTTTCCCTCTGGTCTGGGCCTGTGTGTGCGTAACGTGGGGGAGGGCAGGACACCCCAGGACAGCAGAGCTCATGCAGGTTTTGCGGCCAGCCTCCTCTGGGCTCAGAAGCAGCCGGCGGGCCGCCTGCCTTCTCCCTCTGGGCCTGGAGTGCTAGGGAGAAGCAAGGCCACCACATCCCTCCTACTCTACCATCTCCTTCAGGTCTGTACTTTTTCTCTGGGCTAGTTATGCCAAAGGTCAGTGCAAGAGAATCCTCTCCATTCTAGGCAGGCAGTTTTCAGGCCAAGCACAGGGATTGCGCCCCAAATGGCACAAGCCCTGGAAGGAGGCAAAAGAACAGCCAAACTGTTTGGGCTCTGGACCCCCCAGAAAATGACAGCATGAGGTGCCAGCAGGCACTGCCCACAGGAAAGGTACTAGGACACCGGGGGAGGGGGGCTTCTAGGGGGTCCTTTCTGTCTCTGCCGCACCTTCAAGGGAGACCTGGCAGAGCTGGACTTCCTGGTCTGGGTTAACTCTCTCGTCGCACAGGAGTTTCGCGAGTGGAAAGGAGTGACACAGCCTTGATTTGGTTCGCCATGTAGGAAGTGGCATGAAATCCTCAGTAGGTGGAAATGCAAGTTCTGCTCTCGGTGTTTCCCTGTGGGGCTTCTCACTGTGGCAGAAGCTGCCATTCTGAATATTCCAGTGACAGCGGGGGAAGGTGGGGAGCCTGTGGCTTGTTGCCACATGCGAACCTGGCAAAGGTGGGTTGTTGGGGTGTCTGTCAAGCAGCCAGAGCCCATGGGCTGCTTCAGGGTTGCAGGGGGCTTGTTAATCTTGCCAGCCCACGGTCACTGAGTGCTCATGCAAGAGCTGGCTATAGTGCCCACCCCTCACCTGGCCCCCACACAGCTTGCATGGAATTCAGAATGGCAAATGGCTGCCACTGCAACAGGTTTGCACGGGGGGAATTCGTCCACAGTGGCATCACATCGTGTGCAAAGCTGGTCATTATCAGAGGTTTGGCTGGCACATCTGGGAACATCACCTGTACACAAGAAGGCAATAAGGATGAAGTTACGTGGGGAAAAGGGCTTGTAAACACAGCACTGCCTGTCCAAGAAAAATGGTTGCTAATATCTCATAATTTTCTTGCTGTTCTCCACAGGCGGGGTTAATTGCTGATGCCTGGCTGAAGGAACTGACTCCAGCAATGCCAATTATCTTCATCAAAGCGATCCCCGTGGACAAGCAAGACACTCGCAACATGTATCCCTGCCCTGTTTACAAAACCCGCCAACGGGGCCCAACCTATGTCTGGACTTTTAACCTGAAGACTAAAGAGAAACCTTCCAAATGGGTTTTGGCAGGAGTAGCACTCCTCCTGCAAATTTAAACTTTGTTTCAGACCCTCTTTTTCTTACAGACTCAGATGAAAGCAACAATTACTTCATTGCTTTTTTTTTTGGTGAAATGAATTAATGCCCAGTGCTGGCACCCCACATGCATGTATATCATTCGAAGAGTGAAACATCAAGTGTCAGTCTGCATACATGAGTCATTTCAGATCACACTACAGGTTTTAAATTTAATAGATTCTCACCCCTCCCTTCAAATAAAATTTATGAGTTTGGATTATCTGCAATGAAAAGTAAGTACAATATATAACAGACGATATTGGTAAATAGGAATTAAAGGAATCATGCAACCCAGTCTGCTAATGGTTGAAAGTTCTTTAAAGTTGCTTAGTCCCATAAGGGTGACAAAATAGGTGCCAGGCGAGCCTCGCTCGCTCCCCAGACAGGATGCCACTACCTAGAAGCCTCTCCAGTCTCCCCTAACCTGCCTCCTTCAGTGGATGCATCCAGAGAAGAATCTCCAACTGTGATGTGAGGGAATGGTCAGGCTGATATAAAGACAGGGAGTCCATTCAGTATCCTAGTTCCAAGCCATACAGGACTTTAAAGCTGAATATCAGTTTTTTGTGCTGCAGGTAGAAATGGCGCAGATGCATTTATCTAAATATCAGCTCAGTCAGAGTTTTCCAATGAAAGCCTTTCTACACATTTAGTTGCAAGTCATCGAGCACTGGGCAATCAAGTGACACACATTCATGTGTGAACTGCTATCAAGATGAACTTAAGTTGCATTTAATCGGTATTTAATCATAGAGAATTGTAGATCTTATCTGTAATTGGGCCCACATTTTATGACAAGGTGTCACCAGGGGACAATGCAAAAAAAAAAAAAAAAAAAAAACAAAAAAAAAAAACCTGTGTTGCGGTGGCTTTTTCTTAGCATGGGATGTTACAAGCACTCCCCTGAAAGGGCACGGTGCAACTCCTGTTGCAAGATGGATTTAAAGAGGCCACCGGGCACTGGCACTTTGGGGTGGGGACTGAGACAGGCGATGATCCTCCATTGTACAAATGAGAGTGTTTCCCTTTACTTCAGTGGAATCAGTCCTTTACACTGCCGAATGACACAGTGGAGTCCCACACAGAGAGAGGATTAATTCTGCTCCAGCTGCCCCTGAAAAATGCTTATCTTGCCAGACAAAGCAAGCGAAAGATTTGCCCTCACATCATACACAACATCTTGAGGCATAAAGGAGCCAAGTCTGACACCTTCCTTTACAATGGTTCAATTTTACAGAAGGCTTACACTCTAGGAATGCTGAGAGGAAGTGAATTGTCACAGAGCCATTGAGCAAGGTAAAACCTGTAGTGAGGGAGGTAAACAAAACATTGCAGAGGCTGTGGCTTCCTAATAAAAATGTATTTTGGCTGTACTGGCTGAAGGTTGCCTCCTCTAACAATTTTGCTCCCATTCATGGCTGCTTGAAATTGTATCCATGAAGAATGGTAGAGAAGAACAGCTAACTGTTTGATATGTTTCCATCTGATTTTTCTACCCAGTTTGGGTCCACCAGGTGCCTCACGATACAACGGTAAACTCTGAAATCATCACAGAAATGACCAAACCCTCATAAACAGGACTGCTAGTTATCAAAGTCTGAAGACAGCATAGGCCACATGGCTAGCATGTGCAAAGTGTGCTTTTTGGTTGGATTTCCCCCCAAAATTTTATCACAGAGTCTCAAAGTACCAGTTCAGATCATCACGTCTGAGCTTAACGAATTGAACGTATGTCCAAGCCTTTTACCTTCACATAAAGCCTCTTCTCCTGAGAGCATTAGCTCCTTGCAGAATCAGACCCAGGTGCTGTCTGGTTTGGTGCTGTGCCCTCCCAGTTCTCCTGTGGGGAGCCCAGAAGCAGGAGGCAAGCACAACAACATCTGCCCACTTGTCTTCTCTGGCAGCAGGCAAGCAGGAGATTTGTTTTGTCACAAAGTCGTGCCCGACCCATCACAACCCCCGGGACAACATTCTTGCACACTCTCCTGTCCTCCCCCATCCCTCAGAGTCCACCAAGCCCACACCCACCGCCCCAGTGACTCCATCCAGCTGCCTCCTCCTCTGCCGTCCCCTTCTCCTTTCGCCGTCAATCGTTCCCAGCATCAGGCTCTTCTCCAGGGAGTCCTTCCTTCTCATTAGGTGGCCAAAGGAGCAGGATATTGGGGACAGGGAAACCAGTGAAGCTCAATCTTGTTGAAGGTCTCCAATTTTCACCTCAAAGCCTTCTCTCCATTCCAGCTGAGAGCTTTTACTTTTGGGGGTGGGGATGGCATAGTTAGGAGTGCTTTTTAAAGTATATGCTCCCAAACACCCACTGCTGTCTATTGACTAAAATGGCAAAGTGCATTTACTCCAACATTTTCCAAACATGATCATAAGTTATGTGAGCACTTTGTGAAAAATGCACTCTGGTTCAGGGTGCAAACTGTTTGCTCTCAGGTGCAAACAGGGAAAATTCTGGCCCAAAATGAATAAAAACAAAATTCTTATATATTAGGGAATATATCTAGCCTAACAGCCATTGTTCATGAAGTAACAATGATCCCCTTTTAAAACTCTCCAAGGTAGTGGTCATCCCTATATCTTGAGGTAGCCTGTTCCAAAATTTAGCTATGCACTGTGCAAAGGACCAGCTCCTCTTTGTCCTGAATCTCCTGCCATTCAGCTTCATGGGATGACTTGGGTTCTCCTACAGCCATGCATCATTTTGTACACTTCTATCATATGTCCGCACATTCACTTTTTTCTGAGCTAAACCCCCCTAGGCTTTGTAACCTTTCATTGTAGGAGAGTTCCTCCAGTCCCTTAATAATTTGGGTTGCTCTTTTTAGCACCTTCTCCAAAAGCAGTGCTTTCCCCACATTATCCTCTTTTAGTGTGTGGCGACTCCGAGACTGGTTGCATCACAGATTCATATAAGTGTGGGATGTTATTGGCTGCTTTATTTTAATTTCCTTTTCTAATTTTGCTGAACATGGAATGTGCCTTTTTCACAGCAGCTACACACTCCGTCAACATTTCCATTAAATTATCCATCACAGTCCTGAGATCTTTTCCCAGGCACTGCTGGGTCAAGTGAATCTTGCAGGTGGGAGTTATCTGAGGGCTAAACAACCCCTGTACATCCTTACAATGGTTGGTTATGCACAGCGATAGATGTGAATTCTGATTTGGGGGAGTGAAATCTTGGAGTTTTTTGTTTTGGCTTTGGATTTTATTCTCTTTCTCACTGCTGGAGTTGACTTACTCTGATGCAACATGATCCAGTGTTCAGATTCCAATATTGTTTAATTGCAGCAATTTGGACACATTGTATCATTTTTTTGCTGGTGGGGAGGGGAACAATTTAAGTTTGCTCAGATGGGATAATTTTTCTTTTAAATCCGTGATCTTCTCCAGGTACACATGATCGCAAGACTCCCAGTCGGCTACCAAGAGGTCTGTTCCCTCCTGTAAATGTGCTTGTCAGTGTCATCCGCTTCACCTGCTACCTAGTTTTGTCCGGCTGAGCCATGTTCTTTATTGCCAGAGAACTTGTCTGCTTCATCCTCCATTTCCCTGGGCGCGTCGGGTGCAGAACTGACAAGTTCTTTGGCAAGTGTGAAATATGCCTCTTAGGGGCCAACGGAAACAGCCTGTGAAGAAGGTGAAGCTGATGAACACACCTGTGCCAGGCTGCATCGTGGAGTGGCAGACTTGTGATTGTGTATCTTCATGATCACTGTGTGTGTGTGTGTGTGTGTGTGTATGCACGCGCACTACAGCTTCATTTGCAGAAACTTCAAGATATCTCTCCTTAAAAAAATACAGTTTCTACAAATTATCATTTGCCTGAATGGTGGGATGCCTCCTGCTTTGCAACTGTGCAAAGCATTTCTCTAATCAGTAAAGAAAAAAAAAAAGCTTCTGTCTGCCACTATTCACTATAATGGACACACTGCGGAATCCCATGGGACTCAAATGGAGCAGAACTCCCAATGTCACAGAGTCCTATTCATGCAAAGGTTGCTTAGCCTTCAAATAACCCTCACCAAGCAGGTTTTTATGACATGACAACCTCCAGTAACGTCCAGCAGGGAGTTTCGGGTTTATTATGGTGGCCAGCACACGCCACAGCTCCTCAGAGGTGAAGCCATAATGAGCTGCGGCATGGTGCAAACTGGCCAGCTGGTTGCATCTGACATTTTAATGCCCAGCCTACCTGTTTGGAGCCCTTGCAGTCTTTTTGTTCTAACCACCCTAAATAATTCAATGTCCTCGGCAAGTGAAATAGTATGCGGGCTCCTGATTCCAGATCATTTATGTACAAGTTAAAAGTACCCATCAAAATCCAGATCCATGGGAGACGCCATCGTTACTCCCCCCCCCCCCATAAGAATTGGTACATGGATCCATTTTTAAGTACTGGTGTTACATTGGCCAATTTCCAACTCTCTGGTACAGGACTGATCTTGGAAACACGTTATATTATTTTGTCTGAAGACCAGAAGTTTCTTTAAGAGCTCTAGGATGGAAAGCATCTAGAGCTGGTAACTGGTTAGCTTTAATTTTGATTCATGGTCTAGAACATCCTCTATTTGCCTCCGTTTCTCAAACCCCTTTTCTGAAAATATCAGTTCAGGCCTGCATATCTGCAGTCGCCTTCTCCTCCTCTAATGCTATTGTCATCCAGCAGAGTGACTGCCTCCTTTGCTTCACATATATTAAAAAATATCCTTGTTGGCATTTAGGTGAATAGTGCTAAACTCCCCAAATGCTTTCTTGTATCTTTTATTGTTTACTTGTGTTTTCTTTGAGCAATTTTGTCTTCCTTTTTATTTTTCATATTTGGACAATACTTCCGCTACTGATTAACCATGCTACTAACTTCTTGAATTTGCTACTGCATTTTCTGACCTGCAGCATTCATTCAACTTGAGCCTCTATTATTGTGGTTTTGAGAAACCATGAAGCACTTTGGAGAGATTCAACTATTTTGACTCCCCCCTTTCAACTTTCCTATTATTGTGTCCTGCATTTTAAAG